ATACACTGTGCAATTTTTGGCCCATTCAGAGATGATTATTCAGTCGTTTTAGGGATCGGCCTGAGTTTCGCCTTAATCGTGAGTTGTGCATCATCGTGTAATATACATGGGGTAACGAGAAGCGATTAACACCTCACGACCAGCTCCCGATCAGCAATCGTATCGTCGCAAGAAAATCCTGTCGCCCCTCATGAGGGTGTCAACGCAACCGTCATGCTGCACATGGACAAACACAGAAATGGAAAAAGATGGAGCAGCATGGCAGTGCAGAGTGATCTGGACACAAGCGATGGAGCTGGATGGACATTGCTGCTGAATTGCACCTGCCTGGTCAATGTTTTTCATTAGTGATTTAGCAAAGTTGATGGTGTGTGTGAGTGTGAGTGAAAGACAGAGAGGGAGAGACAGATTTTGTGTTATAAGCTTCATATTATAGATGCACAGTGTGAGCACTCAGGTGGCATCAGAGCATCGGGCCGTATAGTGTGAGACCTGCATCGTGACCTACGAACTTCTAACCCTGTGATTCAATCGTACAGTTTGAGCAGGAGCTGAATAACATGACTGAAAAAAATCGCACAGTGTCTGCCCGGCTTAAAAGAGAGGCCAGCCACCCTTCGAAGGAAGCTCATTTCTGCTACTTGTATGTGTTATGTCCTTCTTCCAGTCACTACCCACAGCTCGTGACCATAGCTGAGGGTAGGGACGTAGAGCGACTGGTAAAGAGAGAGCTTTGCTTTTTACACTCAGCTCTCTCTTTACCATGACGGACCAGTACAGCGTCCGCATCACTGCAGACGAAGCACCAATCTGGCTGTTGACTTTCCTTCTCTGGTCACTCGTGAACAAGACCCAGAGATGCACTCCGCCCTTTTCCGGCTGAGGACCATAGCCTCAGATTTAGGTGCTGATTCTCTTTTCCACTGCTTCACACTTGGCTGAATGGCTGTGAACCGTTCCAGTGCGAGCTGTAGGCTATCACCTGATGAAGTCACCAGAACCACATCATCTGCGAAAAGCAGAGATGAGATTCTGAGGCCACTCAAGCCTTCCACCACTTGGTTATGCCTACAAATTTGGTCCATAAAAATTATGAACAGAATCGGTGACAAAGGGCAGCCCTGGCAGAGTCCATCACCTACCGGAAAAAAGTCAAACTTATTGCCGGATATGCAGACCAAGCTCTTGCAACAGTATAAAGATCGAATGGCCCATAGCAATGTCCCAGACACCTCATACTCCCGAAGCATCTCCCACCACTGACGCTCCGAGAGACACGGTTGAATGCCTTTTCCAAGTCCAACAGACACATGTAGACTGGTTGGACAAACTCCCATACGCCCTCAAGTATCCTCGAGAAGATAAAGAGCTGGTCCAGTGTTCCATGACCAGGACGAAAACCACATTGTTCCTCCTGTTTCCGAGGTTTGACTAACGGACAAACTCTCCTTTCCGGCGCCCTGGCATAAACTTTCCCAGGAAGGCTGAGGAGTGTGATCCCCTATAGTTGGAATACACCCTCCAGTCCCTCTTCTTAAAGATTTGCAGACTGGGGTGGTGGTTCCCATTCAGAGGTACCGCCCTGATCTCCACGCAAGTCTCCAGAGGTGTGTCAGTCAAGACCTACAACATCCAGAGACCACAGGAACTCAGGGTGAACCTCATCCACCCCAGGGGCCCTGCAGCCAAGGAGGTAATTGCCTCAGTGACCTAACCTCTGGAGATAGAAGAGTCGTCCCCCTTGCCCCCAGACTCTGCTTCCTCCACAGAAGACATGCCGGTGGGATAAAGGAGGTCCTTGAGGTATTCCTTCCACCACCCGACAATTTTCAAAGTTGAAGTCAGCAGTGCTCCACCCAGTCTATACACAGTGCATGTAGAACACCACTTTCCCCTCTTGAGTCACCTGACGGTTTGCCAGGATCTCTTCAAGGCAGTCCGAAAGTCTTTTTCCATGGCCTCTTTGAAGTCCTCTCACACCACTAGTTTTTGCTTCAGCCACTGCCTGAGCCACCTGTTGGTACCTATCAGCTGCCTCTGAAGTCCCACAGATTAGCCAAGCCCGGAAGGACTCCTTCTTCAGCCTTGTGGCTCCCTTCACCTCTGGTGTCCACCATTTGGTTTGGGCATTACCACCACAACAGGCACCAACCACCTTGCGGCTGCAACTCAGTGAGGGGGTTTGGCAGTCGAGGTGCTGAGCATGGTCCATTTGGACCGGGGCCTCTGCCTGGCCTTACTATATATTTGATGTGCCAGGTTTGTCCAGCATCCTCCCCCGCCAACTGATCCAACTCACCACCCGGCGGTGATAAGTTGACAGCTCAGCCTCTCTCTTGTGTCCAGAACATATGGGTGCAGGCACGTCTGCTGGACCAGACAGGGTGAGTCCCTGTGTCTTCAAGGCCTGCGCCCCCCAGCTTTATGGAGTCTTTCATAAACTGTTCATGATGAGTCTGAGTCTGCAGAGGGTCCCAGTGCTGTGGAAGATGTCAGGCCTCGTTCCTGTACCAAAGATGCGACATCCCAGTGGTTCCCAGGATTACTGACGTCTTAAAAGACTGATGATATGTGTGTCCTCAACATTGTGTGTCTGACAAGCTGATCAGCAACACAGGGACACCACAAGTCCTCTAAGCCACAGACTTCACCACTGCAAAGAAACCTGCCATGTTCAGAAGTTTTCTCATGACTCTGCTGTGGTTGGATGCAGCAGTGAAGGTGAAGAGACAGAGTACCGGGCTGTGGTTGACTCCTTTATAACACGGTGCAAGCAGAATCATCTGCAGCTCAATGTGACCAAGACAAAGAACTGACTGTAGACTTGAGGAGGACCAGGAAACCAGTGACGCCTCTTTCAGTCCAGAGGGTAGATGTAGACTGCTGTTGCATGGAGAGGGTTGCAAATGCCAACAGACTTAATAAACGGATCCGCAAGGCCAGTGATCTTGTGAGGATGGAGCTGGACTCTATTAAGGTGATGTCAGAAAGGCAGATGTTATCTCCATGTGGTTATCTCCCTGTACAACTCCTCCATCTAATGCACAGTGCAATAGTTACACTCTCCTGAGTGTGGGTGATCGTGGTTCAAGAGTTGGGAGTTCGCCTTGTAATAGGAAGGTTGCCGGTTCGAGCCCCGGCTCGGACAGTCTCGGTCGTTGTGTCCTTGGGCAAGACACTTCACCCGTTGCCTACTGGTGGTGGTCAGAGGGCCCGGTGGCGCCAGTGTCCGGCAGCCTCGCCTCTGTCAGTGCGCCCCAGGGTGGCTGTGGCTACAATGTAGCTGCCATCACCAGTGTGTGAATGGGTGGATGACTGGATATGTAAAGTGCTTTGGGGTCCTTAGGGACTAGTAAAGCGCTATATAAATACAGGCCATTTACCATTTACCATCTCCTCTACAGTGATAACTGCTCTGCCCTCTTGAGTCAATGCCTCCCTTCTTCCAGGGCTAGTTTAACGGCTAGGAGTGTTTCGTCATCACTGTCATACTTCTTCTCTACAGAGGACAAACTACGTAAAAAGAAAACACACCTATGCAGGTTATCATCTATTTGATGTAAACATTTAGGTGCCCCTCTGTATTAAGAGATATTAAGAGAGTGGGACTATTGCAGTGTGTACTTGTGCTGGGACTCATCCTGTCTGGTCATGCATACTTACCTGAGTATAGTGTTTCTGAACGTGGTTGTACGTGAAAGTGATGGGTGGAGGAGAGGTGTCAGGTTTTTCACTGGAGGTGCAGTAAGGAGAGAAAGGGAGAGAGAGTGGTGTGGCTGTGGACTGGAGGCTCGCCACAGGTAAGTCAGTAGGAGCTGAGCATTAACTGCAGTATCAAATCAGTTGAAGAACAAATTCAAGTCACTGGCTCTGTCTCCCAGCAGCTTCTCTTCGATTGGATGGTTCGAATCCAGTGAACCCTTAATGACACTCCAGACCTCTCTGCTGTTTTGCTGGAGTTTCTGCTCTAGCTTTCTCCTATTATTGTTCTTAGTTTCTCTGATCTTGCCACTCAATAATCCCATTCTCAGCTCCACTTTATTTCTCACTCTGAAAAACATCCCCTTGTTATTGAGGAGGTCTTTGATGTCATTAGTCGCCCATGGCTTGTTATTTGGGTAGCAGAGAGTCTGAGCTGGGACAGTGGTGCTAGTGCAGAAGGTTATGTTGTTAACAACTGGTGGGTTGTTAATTGCAGAGCTTTCCCTGTCAGCTCGAACAGTTTGGAAGCCTGTACATCGCACCATTCAACCAATATGTTTGCTCCATATGTTTGGTAGAGAACACTATTAAACAAATAAGAGGCAGAACAGCTGAAACACGCTGCATGTTATGCAAACTCCACTAATAACCATGGACAACATTTTATTCTGTCCGAATACGATCTTCCTCTAACTATCATGTATCCTGTATCCATTATTTCATCATCATCCTGATGAAAATCTGGAATCTGTTCCAGATTGTAATTACTGTATTGTAATTTTGTAACCAGTGCTGTAGTATTGTTATGTCTTTTCCTGCTGTTGTCAAAGCAATTTACTCAATGATGCTGATAGGAGTAACTGTGGTCGATCTTGTGTATATGAAAGATGATAAATAAGGGGCTGGTTGAATTAAAAATTAGCCAATTTTTGTTGATCTCCTGCAATATTTAGGTCATGCTCTGTAATATAAAAGTCAACATAGATTATTTGCTTGGTGTTTGCCAGGAAACGTGATAATATTCATTTTGTGCATAAAGTGTGGTTGTTATAGGTGTATAAATGCTACACATGAGTAATTTTACCCTACTGATTGGTAGGGTAAAATTACTATGACATCATAATATCCCTGCTTTTGTGGTAAAAAGTATACAGTGTTTTCAATATGTCATAGTGTTTCCCTCTGCATGGCCTCTAAACCTGTCCCTGCTCTTTCTGCTCAGTATGTAAGATGTTTAGTTACTGCGTTAGTAATTACTGATACTGTACTAAATGAAGCCCATTATCACCGGTGGAGGTCAGAGTCACTGAGCTGGAGATGTGTCCACAGTGAACTGTGTTCCAGGGGCCTGAGCAGCAATGAAGATGAATGCAAATTACAGAAAATCATCATTCAAGCAGTAGTGACACATGGTTCCATCAATCTGAGTTCACTAACATGAATACTGAATCGTGTGCAACCTTTCCGGAAACAATGTCGGACTTTTCTTTCGCTGCATGTTCTCCTTAAGTTGCTGGTTGTCCGGCTTTATAGATTATTGATGTTAGGAGAAAGGAATCCATTGCACTATGAATGGAGCAGCTCTCGTTTCTGGCCCGATTTATTAAATTACCCAAAACAGTTTTATTCTGTTGCCCACCTGTGTTTCTGTCTGATTTCTCAGACTTTTATCTGATTTAGTGCTCAGCTCAGATAATTGTGGGTGATTTTAACATCCATCTAGATGCTAAAAATGACAGCCTCAATAATAATAATAATAATAATAATAATACATTTTTTTAAAGCTGTACACA